AAACTGGAATTATCTCCAACAAACAACAAATGAACTACGAATATAGGCGGCCCTTCATAGCCACAGATTCACTCAACCAAGGATTAAAAATATATGTATATTTTAAAAAAAATGATGATAAAAAATAATAGAAATTTTTAAAAAGTCATGACAGTATAACAATATTTACATAGCATCTACATTGTATTAGGTACCATAAGTAGTCTAGAGATTATTTGAAATATGTGGGAGGATGTGTGTAGGTTGTATGCAAACATTATGGCATGTTATATAAGGAATTTGAGCTGCCTGTGGATTGTGGTGTCTGCATGGGGTTCTGAAACCAATCTCCCACAGATACTAAGGAGCAACTATACTAAGCCAACAAAAGCAAGATTGTAATTTTCAGCAGGTAACTAGAAACAGCAAGAATATCACCAATATCTTTAGAAAAATACTGATGCATTGATTTAATAATCTTGATGAATACAGGGCAAGATAAAGAATTCCACACGATGATTTAACATTTCCTCTACCTCCACAACCACACTTGACTAGGAGGAAAAAAAAAAAAGAAAAAAAGAATTCCACACAAAAACATCAGAGTGAAACAGCAGAAAAATTACAAACAAAAAAAAAAAAAAGAAAAAAAATTCTAAAAGACAGATTTCCTTCAAAGCAGCACGAACTATTAGGTTGGTACAAAATTAATTGTGGATTTTGCATTGTTGGAATTCGCCATTTGATACTGGAATACATTCCTAAATGTGGTTATGTTATATATCTTTTTTTTTTTTTTTTTTTTTTGAGACGGAGTCTCACTCTGTCACCCAGGCTGGAGTGCGTTATATATCATTTTAATGGGCATTTCTCACTTTATGTTTTTTTGCTAATGACTTATTACTTGCTGTTTGTATTTATTTTGGACTATGGAAATGATGCTAGACAAAAAGCAAAGTCGAGTGATTTTCTTATTCAAGTTCAAAATGTGTCGTAAAACAGCAGAGACGACTCACAACATCAACACTGCATTTGGCCCAGGAATTGCTAATGAACGTACAGTGCAGTGGTGGTTCAAGAAGTTTTGCAAAGGATACCAGAGCCTTGAGGATGAGGAGTGTAGTGGTAGGCCACTGGAAGTTGACAACAACCAACTGAGAGCAATCATTGAAGCAGATCGATCCTCTTACAATTACAGGAGAAGTTGCTGAAGAACTCAATGTAAGAACTCAACGTCGACCATTCTACAGTTGTTCAGCATTTGAAGCAAATAGGAAAGGTGAAAAAGCTTGACAAGTGGGTGCCTCGTGAGCTGAGCAAAAATTTAAAATAACACCATTTTAAGTGTTGTCTTCTCTTATTCTCCACAACAATGAACCATTTCTCAATCAGACCGTGAGGTGCAACAAAAAGTCGATTTTATATGACAACCAGCAATGACCAGCTCAGTGGCTGGACCGAGAAGAAGCTCCAAAGCACTTCCCAAAGCCAAACTTGCACCAAAAAAGGGCCATGGTAACTGTTTGGTGGTCTGCTGCCGGTCTGATCCACTACAGCTTTCTGAATCCTGGAGACACCATTACATCTGAGAAGTATGCTCAGTAAATCAATGAGATGCACTTAAAACTGTGATGCCTGCAGCCAGCATGGATCAACAGAAAGGGCCCAATTTTCCACAATAACACCCAACAGCACATTGCACAACCAACACTTCAAAAGTTGAACAAACAGGGCCACAAAGTTTTGCTTCAACTGCCATATTCACCTGACCTCTCATCAACTGACTACCACTTCTTCAAGCATCTCCACAACTTTTTTCAGGGAAAATGATTCCACAACCAGCAGGACACAGGAAAAGGCTTTCCAAGTTTGTGGAATCCTGAAGCATGGGTGGATCACTTGAGGTCAGGAGTTTGAGACCAGCCTAGCCAAAATGGTAAAACTTCACCTCTACTAAAAATAAAAATATTAGCCAGGCATGGTGGCACATGCTTGTAATCCCAGCTACTCGGGAGGCTGAGGCAGGAGAATCACTTGAATTTGGGAGGCAGAGGTTGCAGTGAGCCAAGATCATGCCACTGGATTCCAGCCTGGGCAACAGAGTGAGACTCCATTTCGCGGCGGGGAGCGGGGAGAGGCGGAATCTTCAAAAATCAAAAATAATAATTTAATAATTTGAGATTAAGAAAGGTTTATGTATCTGAGTTGTTCCAAACATAAAGGTTTCACAGTAACTGAATCAAGTGTCAGTTTTTAAACTTAATTGAACACTAAACAAAACTAAAAATTCAGTTCCTCAGTCACACTAGCCACATTTCAAGTGCTCAAAAGCCACACGCAGCTTGTAGCTACTATAATGAACAGCACAAGCATAGAACTTGTTACCTGGAATTTAAACTACATATAAAATTCAAAGAACAATGATAGCATATAAGACCTACATGAAGATAAAGTTGCCATCCCAGAAGAGAGTAATGCTCCAAGCACAGAGAAGATACTGGCCATACTGCTAGAAATCCCTGAGTAAAACAGACAACCCAATTAAAACACCAAACAAACAAACAAAAAACCAAACCTCCACAAAAGATTTAAAAAGACAATGCACAAAAGATTTAAGAATTAAAAAGACAATTCTAGAAAGAGGAAATCCAAATGGCCGGTAAGTTTTTGAAAAAGTGTTCAAACTCTTTAGTATCCTGGGCAGAGTAAATTAAAACAATAAGATAAAGCCACATTCCTCAATTTGGGAAAACGGAAAAATAACTCTTGGTGAGACAGTAAAAGTAAAGGGATCTACCATATACTGTTGTCAGGGTATAAACTGGTGTGAATTTGAAGATAAACATACGTACTCTACAAAAATCCATGGTAATGTACATAAGAATACATGTACAAGAACATTCATAATAGTATTGTTCATAACTGCTAAAAACGAAACAATCCAAAACTTTATTAATATTAGACTAAACTGTGGCTCATTTCCATTAAGACTTTTTACACTATACTTTTTATACTATAGATTACTATAATCCAATATAAGAACTAGAGCTAAATGTACTAACAGAGTTAAATCTTAGCTGTATGAGAGAAAAAGATACATAATGATATGTAATATATAATTCACTTACAATTAAGAAACAGGCAAAACGAATCTAAATTGCTTAGGAATGCTGACATAGGTGGTTAAAGAAATCCTAAGAAAGAAAGCAGTAAATAATTGCCATAAAAATCAGGATAGTGTTAACCTCTGAAAGAACTGAGGAAGGGGATGAACAGGAATAGAATATAGAGGGCAGCTTCTCAGGGGCCACAAACATTTTAATTCTTGACTGTGGTAGCGATTACATAGAGTTCACACTTTATAGCTATTCATTATACTATGTATCGATGTTTGCATGCTTAAATACTAAATGTATGGAAAAAGACACAAAAGATTTAAAATTGTATCTAAGGCACATTAATTGCCTTGCTGTATTTTTTTTTTTCATTACAAAGTGGCAGACAATTGGTTACACTATAAAGAAAATTTTAAAGCACAGGAGTCTACTTTTGATTCCATCAGACATGATTACCGTACACAGTACAAAAGATAGTAAGAGCTAAGCAATGGTGCACAAATGGGGTCCACTATCCAAACTTACAGAAAGTAAGATGTGGAAAATTAGTAACTTTAACTGATAGTGTACCCCTAAAGAAACTACACCGGCCGGGCGCGGTGGCTCACGCCTGTAATCCCAGCACTTTGGGAGGCCGAGGTGGGTAGATCACTTGAGGTCAGGAGTTCGAGACCAGCCTGACCAACATGGTGAATCCCCCGTCTCTACTAAAAACACAAAAAAATTAGCCGGGCGTGGTGGCACATGCCTGTAGTCTCAGCTACTCGGGAGGCTGAGGCAGGAGAATTGCTTGAATCCAGGAGACAAAGTTGCAGTGAGCCCAGATCACGCCACTGCACTCACTGGGAGACAGCAAGACTCTGTCTCAAAAAAAAAAAAAAAAAAAAAAAAAGAAAAAAAGAAAAAGAACCTACCCAACAGAATTAAATACCAACATAATAAATATGAAGGATTTTAGATTCTTGGTTTTTGAAAAACGTACAAAGATGATATTCCTTCAAAATACCTTTACAAAACAACTGAGACTGTAATGGTTTATATTGATTGTATGAAAACAATGTGAAAAAGAACCAGTACTATTTCACTATAAAAGCTTTACTAATGTAAATGTATAAATTCTTTCTTAAATATTTGAATTCTAATTTTATGATAGAAATTCATTATTTTCATCAAAAACAGCTGGCATTTGGGAAACCAAAGGCTCAAAAACTAAGAATAGTAACCATAGAAGACGAAACAGTCCTTTTAAAACTCATCATCTACACTACAAGGGGAAACTTTGATCACGTCCTTTTCTCTTCATCAATCGTAAAACTCAACATTAAGGACTACACAATCCCACATCCCTCTCCGAGAGAAAGCAAAGGCTTTGTGTTGTAGCAACAATGCAAGACACGGAGGGAAGCTCCACTCAAGACTTCCCTGCCTGCTCCTTCCCCAAAGCCACTCCAGAATACCAGGGAGGGTTAAGAGGTAAGGCATGAAGAGCGCAATATCCAATATAAGCAACGCGTCTGATGCATCTGGTCAAAATGCATACAGAGGACTTGTCTCTGTCCCTAGATACAGGTCTCCCGTTCTGCAGTCATGAGGATCAGCTGCTGAGCCTTCACAGTTCCCTTCTCGGACCGTCACGCTCCTCACTTACCACCCCGATGCAGAGCTAGTCTCAGGACTCCCTGCACGTGTCAAGGATTCGTCGGCAGGCTCATGGGGGTGCCAAATGACAGAGCTCGCCTGGTCCTGGCCTTCCCGGCCTATACAAGCCTGCCCCCTTCCCAATTTCCAGTCTCCACAGCCTTCCATCCTCCCCCTTTCGATTCACCTTTCGCCACTGACGCCCCTGGCCTTCGTTTGCAGCAAGTTTACCCCACCATTACCTCCCGCATAAAAGCCTGCCTTTACCAGGGCAAAGGGGGGTACCAACGCCTGCAGGAATTGCTTCACAGGATCGGCTGGACGCGTCCTCTGCTAGGCTTCACCTGCTGTTGGCGACGGTACACAACCACTCCCAGCATGCCCCGCGCACGCACCACCTCTCCCACCCCGCCCCTCTCCCGCCCAAACACGTGACCCCCTTTCGTCTCCGTCCACGCCCACTTCCGTTCCTCCACTTTCCCTTAGGAAGGAGGAGGGAGCTGGGGGTGTTAAAAGCGTAGCGACTTCCTCCTCTTCCCCGCCCCCGCCCCTGTACCCCTTGCTACAATGTCTTCCGGGTCGCGAGCGCCTCTGAGCCTTCTGGGAAAATAGCTCATTTCCTCCCCTCCCCCTCCTCCTGCCTTCAACCAACCAGCCACCCGTCAGAGAGGGACATGCGCAGTGAGTGCCTCCCGTCTCTTCTACCCGAACCCCCCTCCCCCCCAAGCAGAGAGACCCCAGCAGCAGCAGCAGCTGATGATGAAGAGAGAGGCAGTGGCAGAGGGGGGGCACCTTTTATTTCTATTTTTAAAGGGACAGGACACTAATTCTATCCCACTTCAACCTTGAATTGAGGGGGGTGGGGGGAAGGCGGCTGAGTTCCTTCCCCCACCCTCCAGCCCTGAGCCCTGAGAGGGGGATTGAGCCTGAGAGAGGAGGAGAAGGAGTTTCTTCTTCTTCGAAAACCCCCATCCACGACTCCTACCCCCTCACCCCTCCAACTCGCCTCCCTCCCGAGCCCCCTCCACCCTCCTCCTCTTTGGCCGTGAGAGGAGGAGAGAAAGAAACCAAAAGCCTCTTAGCAACACAGACCCTTTGCTGCTGCTGCTGCTGCTGTTGCTGCTGCTGCTGCTGCTACTGCTGCTGCTGCTACTGCTGCTGCTTGGCCCTGGCTGGAGACATCTCACTACACCCAGGAGCAGCCACTTCCCCAGCTCTCCTCCTCCTCCTTCGCCTCCTCCTCCTCCACTCCCCCCCTTTATTACCCTTTGTGTCATCCTCCACAGCTCCAGGGAAGGCACTCAAAAGTGGGGGGCAGGAAAGGTAAGTGTGTCTGTGGGGGCTTCATTGCCTTCCTCTGGCTCTGACTTTCACTCCGGGGCAACAGTAGCACCAAACCACATACGCAGTGGAGCTCCGGGGTGAGGAGGGGGTGGTGCTGGGGGGGGGTGAAGGAGGGGTTGGAGTAGGGAGGGGTGTGTGAGATGGGGTGCCCATCCTGTCAGGGGAGGAAGGGCACTTTTATTTTTATTTGCTGTTGTCAAAAGTGGTTTCTCTCCTCCAGCTAACATCTGATTGTGTCTTGCTCCAGTGGGGGAGAATACAAAAACAACCCCCTCCTTCCTCCAATGAGGCGCCAGGGAAAGAGACAGAAAGAGGCACACTTTCTAGATGTCACTTAAAAAAAATTCATTGGAGAGCTCTTTTTCCCCAGGAAAAGCTTCACTGCATTTGTTTCTGAGTGGGAAAATGTCGGGATCTGGATTGTATTGGAACTGCTTATCCATTTGTAGACCTGAGTGTTTTCCCCTTTTTGGTCCTGTATGAGATTTGGATATTGACTTTAGTGTTGGAAGACTTGATTGGTTTTTGCTTTAGGGGTTTCATTTTCCATTTTTTCGTTTTGTCTGACTTCCATGGAAAATTTCAAATTTTTAGTTGGTAGAGGCCTTTGGTTAGGTTTTGACTTGCATTATTGCTTTTTTTTTTTTTTTTTTTTGTTAAATGTCTGTTTCATATATCAGTATATAAAGTCCAAAGCTCTAAAACGCTTAAAGTTTAAATGCCACTAGTATTGTCTGTTCCCACATATGTTCCTGATACTTATTTTCCATATGATGAGAATATTAGGTATTTTATAATTAATCTGGGTATTTTTGTAATCTTTGTAACTTGTCTGAACAAGTAGTCCCCATTGAAAACTTTATGTTGTTCTGGCTGCATGGAAGGCCAAACCTCTCCATCAATAGTTTGCTGGATTGGTACCACTTTCAGTTTTAGCTGAATTATTTATTTACTGTTGAAAATTGAGATGAGCTTTTCATCTCAATTTCTCTTCGGGTTCTGAACCAAATTGCTCACTATATGTAAAAGGACACAAATTTCTAAAATATGTTTTGATGAGTCAAAGCAATCATGAACTTATAGTTAGTATATTAATTTCGGTTAGCTATAAATTGAAAGGTAAATCCAGATTTAAGTTTATGGAATAACAGTATTGATAAAAATCACTATTCATTTTTCTATAGTATGTTCTTAGTGCATAGCTTTAAAATCCAGTGTTGTATTTTATTTCACAAATGCTAGAAAGTATGTTTCTGATGTAGGCCTTTTACTAGGGCTTATATTGGAAAGTGTTATTTTGTTTCATATATACATTTCTTTATTCTCTCCTTGAAGATGGATGCACACATGCATATACACACACTCTGTCGCTCTCACTCTCTCTCCCTCACACCCTTTTTTTTTTTTTTTTTGTAACTGCATTGGTATCTCTGATCCCATAATTTATGTCAGCAAAAAATATTCTTCTGTAAAGCAGCAATTTTGTGATCAGACTGGCAATATGAAAACAGCAATTTGATCAACTAGAAAGGATTGAAGAAATACAAATCTAGAAGTATATTTGGCATAAATATTATAAAGACATGGTAATACTTCTAATTTTTTATTTGCTTGATGGTTAAAGTTAAAACGTAATATACTCATATTTTAGTGACAGTAAAGCATTGCATATGTAGAAACTTGTTCTGTAAAATTTTAATTATCAACTGTGTGCAAAAGTAGACATTTACATACCGAAATAAAAAAGCTTTATAGCAGTAAACAATATGATCTTATTTCCCTTCTGTTATAAATTTGAACAATTTTTTACCTTTCTCTGAGATGTAATTAGTGTGCTTAAGCAGAAATCTGTGTCAAGTTCAAGTTTTTCTTCCAACATCAATACTGCAATTCCAAGTCCTTGTAAGGTTTCTTGTTCTCACCTTAAAACCTCAGCAACCTTAAAGGTAAGAGAGAGACAGTAGAACTTACTGAAGAAATTAATTTTAAGTAAGCGAATTATGTAGGTAATTGGGGTGGTAGTTGCCCAGTAGGCAGCTGAGTGAAAATTTAGTCTTGAGTTTAATGTCTTTCCTTATTTTGTTTCTTTTTTTTTTTCAAAACATTTTTTATCACACCCCTCACCCTCACCCCCATGATCCTTTTGGTTAGAAGATTCCAGACTTTATCTGAGTTGGATAATGATTTATGTTTAGAAAACCTTGTTAAGTATTAAGAACTGTTGATTCTTTAGGATTGTAATTGTTCAACTGGGTGATATCTTGGAGGTCACTTTATCCAACTCTATATATTGCCGAAGTTCTGAGAACTCGAACTTGCCTGAGGTTCCAAGGCCTGTAAGTGGCAGAGAAGGGAGCAGAGAACTCAGGTCTCCTGATGCTCACTATGCTGCACTACCTCATTTCCTTTGTCAGAAATGAAACTATTATGTACAGTTCTGGGTATACCACTTCAGGATTTCATATGGGGGCATATTATTGTACGAATATTAAGGTGAATAGCTTTAAAGCTATTATTTTGTCTACTTAAATTCAGTAATTTGTTAATTTTTTAAAGAAGTACTAATTGTACTTATTGTAGGTTATTACTATTTTGAAGATAATTTCAGCTTTCTCTAATACTTATTTTCCTCCTGCACTTACAATTAATCAGTAAATATACTTACTGTTGTATTAAGGACCCATACTTATAAGAATAAATGGAATGCATATTCTATTATAAATGCTTACTTGTGAGTCTTGCCCTATGTACTGCCTAAAAACAAACATTTTTATTTTGTTAACACATCCTTCTACTCTCAGCACAATATCTGGTACACAGTAGGTCCTACTGGTAGCTTGTCATAATCCATGTTAGTTTTAGAGTTAGGCATATTTGAATTTCTTTACTTCCATATGTGGAATTCGTTTCCTCTCCTTTTCTTGTCCTCCCTTGCCACAATTTTCACTACCATGAACGTTTTTTCTTTATCCCTACTGTGGCTCTCATTTTATCTAATTAACAGCCAAAGTAAATACTATTAGCTATATGGTACTCATAGTAACAAGACATATTCCCTTCTTATACCGGAAAAAATTTGGCAAAAGTGATTTATTATGAATAAGCAACAATGATCCAACACATTCCAGTTAAAAATATGCTTGTAAAAATTGTTCAGGATGCACTTAAATTTTGTTTCATTGACCGGCACAATAGGTTGTTGGAATGATTAGGCCGCTTTTACCAGCTCTATAAAACAAGTGCTACTTAGGTGACATGTTTCCCTGACTTTGTTTTTTTGGTCCTTACCCAGACAATTATCAACTTTCCAGTTTTCTATGGATATGAAGATATACTCCTAGTCATCAGTGGGACCCCCATGAAGTCAGCCAGAAAGCCTATATCCAAGTTATGTACCTTTGCAAACTTGTCTGGATTTTGACTGTATGTGCAAAACAGATTGTATTTAGCGATTCATTAAACATCTTTTGATCATCTGCTGTCTGCCAGGCACTGTGCTAGGCATCTGAAAAACAAAGATGGTCCCTGCAGTTTAATGTGAAGAGCTACCTTAATTGTATTCCACAAGTGTATTGGTCATATCTTTGTTTTGGTGTTTCTACCTAAATAAATTTTATATTAACTAAACAGATACTGTTAGGTGGAAAAATGCATGTCTAAGAAGAATATTGCTGTTATTTTATTAAAATACAAATATATAAAGAAAAATTTTCCACTTAATACTGTATTCTAGGGATTTATATTCTGTAAATAGTTAACACATTTTAGACAATGAAAATAGTCTTATGTGGCTGCCTTTGCTGGATTTTTATTGCTAACCGTAATTCTTTTAAGATGACCAACAATGTTCATTAAATAATCTCATTAAATTTTTCCGGAAAAAACACCCCAAACTCTCTAAACTTAAATCTTTTTTTCAAAAGTAACTTTTTTCTTTTTTACCTCATATAACAGATTATCATTCATGATTCATTGGAAGACATTGTACATTTTCATTTTGAGTTTTCAGATATTTTCTACCATATTTTAGCAAATCTAACAGCATGATTTAATTATTCTGCAGTAATTAGTGTGCACTATTTAGGAGTTTTGGAACTTTTAGTATGTAGTAGAAATATCATTGCAAAGTCCTCATAAGAAACTTCCCAATTCTAGTTCTAAATCAGTTGTAATTTTTACTCTTTATTAAG